CATTGGATACCAGGTACTAGGGGACCACGGAGTGCCCAGAGATTCCCTCAGCTTGCCAGGCATCTCCCCACCTGGAGCTCCATGCAGGCAGCCTGAGGAGAGGTGTGAACCCTCCTTGACCAAGACCTATAGGCTGTACACTGCTGATGTTTCTGGTGGGGCCAGGTCCCACCAACAGCAGGAGCCCCTCTGCACAGCTCCCGCCCCGTGCAGGAGCGGGATGTTGGTGCTACTCCCTACCAGCTCACTGTCCTTCCTCCAGCTGAACATCACCACCATGAGAGCGGACGACGGCAGCTTCCTTGAATTCAAGCAGGTGTTGGTGAACCAGTCGGTGACTGAGTACACCCCCCGCCAGACAGCTGGAAGCAAATACGTGGTGACTGTGCAGGGCCTCACAACAGCTGGTGCTGGGGCTGCATCAATGCTGGAATTTCAAGCCTACGTCTTGGGTAATGGTTCTTCTGCCCTGGGTCTGGTTGGGGTGGCCTCCCTGGGAGTGAGTGCTGACTCTGGAGCAGCTTCCAGACTCACATGTGCACCCCCCTCATCCCCACCAAGACAGAGGCAGGGAGAGTGCGAGCACCCTCCCTCAGCTCAGCAGTGGGTGTGAGGCTGGGTGAGTCCTGCTTTGCAAGGTCCCCAGAGAAGCTGCATGGCTTCAGCTCCTGTTTGGGCCTTTGATAGGAGACCTGCCCCCTGCATTTGGGTGCACGGGCAGCTCAAGGTCAGAGAGCACTAGGGTTGCAGAGCCGGGGTCTGTGAGTCCTCCTCCTGTGTGCAGGATGGTTGAGTAGGCTGCCAGACCCTCCAGCTGGGGACATGGGGCAAGTCCCTGTGCTCCAGAGCCTCCATCTGCCCTGCCCAAGCAGACATGGTGACAGGGGAAGACTATGCCTTGCTGCCTGTCCCTGCAGCCAGGGCAGTAGAGCATGGACACACATTTCTACACATGTGCAGACACCCAGTGCCAATGTTGGGGCCTTTGCTTGTGCATGGCCCAGGCTGTGGCACCCACTCCTGTCCCTGCTTTAGTTGCAGGGCAGCCTCTGGGCCCATGGCCTGGGTCAGCGGTCACAGTAGTCGTGGTGGTGCTGGTGCTGGTCCCCTTGTCTGCAGGGATCCTGTGGTTTGTAGTGTCCAGGTGAGTTGGCAGGAGACTTGGAGTCTTGACTCTGCTTCAGGCCATGCTGTGCCATGGGCTGGGAGAGGATGGAGAGGGGGTCCCCAGCTGCTCATACCCTTCTCTGGGTGCAGAGGATGCAGATGGCTGGTTCTACCATATTTTGCCTCTAGGGCTCCTAGCAGGGGTTCATAAGTGTCTTCCCCAGGACTGGGACAAGGACCATGTGTACTAAGAGACCCTTTCCCCTTGTTGCTGTTGCTGCCACCACTGCTGTCCCCTGGGGTGGATGGGCAATGCCTGCCAACTCTGGAGAAACTCAGAGGGAGGGTGTGCAGAACCCTCCAAGCCTCTGCTGCTGGGTTCAGCAGGGTTGGGCCCACATCAGCCTCTCCCCTGACTCAGGGCTGCCCTTTGCCTTCCCAGGAAAAAGAAGGTCTTGCCCAGCAAAGTTGAGGAGGATGATTACACAGGTAGGACACCATCACAGAGACAACTGTAGGGCTGGAGGTGGGAGGGGAGCAGGTCTATTTCAGGAGGGATTTGTTGGCATTCTGAGGTGGCTGCAGGCAGCCCAGCTGGCTCTGGCTGACCTGCCAGACCAGCATGTCCCACATCTGCTAATCCCAGCTGAGAGCCTGCTCCAGTACCTCTTCCAGCAGCTCCTGGCTGGGGTTCCCCTGTGGTGCTGATGAGGGCTGGGAGCTGCCTCTCGTGCTCACCTTGTCTGGGGTAGGCAGCACCTCTTCACAGCCCTGCTGCCCTGATGGTGTGTGTCCCAGGGTGCCCTGGAGCCCCCAGTGATGCTGCCTGCCTCAGGCTGCCCTGCTCCTTCTCCTCAGCCCCAGAGTCCTCAGGTTGTCTCTGCCATCTTGTGCCCCCAGAGCTCCAGCCCTATGAGAACGTACATGAGGATAATTACTGCGTGATCAAGACTTTTCTGGCACAGAAAGATGCAGGTAGGAGATGGATTGCCCTGCCTGTGTTCCACACATGGCACACAGGGAGCGTGGACTGGCATCTGGGATGGTGTGCATGAGCTTCCCATGCTGCTGAGTGCACACAGCAGCCTCTGTCCTGGTGCCCTTGGTCTCCACAGGTAAATGTGGCCACGCTGGAGAGCCAGTGCCCAAGCCCCTGCCTGTCATGGAGTCTTCAGGAGACAGTCAGAGCAGTGAGGGACAGAAGAAGCTGGGACAGGCATCAGTGATGGTGGCCCTTCCCTTCTTGCAGCTTGCTCCTCCACCACTGCAGGCAGAACCATGAAGCTTGTCATGGGTTATTGCTCCCTCTCAAATTTTCTCCCTCATCAGGCTCCAGAATCCTCTGTCACAGCACAGGAGCAGCTCAAGGCCTGGGATGACCTGCTTGCACCAAAGAGGATGTGGTCTGGTAGTTCCCCAGTGCTCTGGCAGAGCCACCTCACCAGCATCCTGGTGCCTGCAACTGTCCCCTGAGACTGGATCCCAACCCCTTTTTCCCCACTCTATATCCCTATATCCATCTAGACCCTTCCCTCTGCTTGAGTTTGGCCCAGCTGTGTTTCCCTGGAAGCTGTGCTGCTGTATCTGAACAACCAATAATAAACTGTTTTATTTCACAGGGGCTTTCTGGCCCGTGACAGCTCCCACCTTGTCGTGGTTCCTCCTTGTCTTGTGTGTGAAAATCCTGACCCCATGAATCTTCACAGAGGAGCTTGGAGTAGGCTTTTCCAGCCTTCAGCAGCCCTGAGGAAGCACACCTGAAGAGCTGCACGCTCTCAGTGCAATGCTTTGGGTTGCTGCTTTCCCTCCTCCCATCCTACATGGGGCATGTAGGCACGGTCTCCACTATGCCTAACTGGACCTCTGTGTTGGTCTGTGCCGCCCTCTGGGGGTGTAGGTGCTCATCTCCCATTTTGTGAGGTGCAGTTCACTGCCCTCTTGGGGCATCCGCATCCTGCAGCCTTTGGGATCTGCTTGATCTTGGCTGCTGCTGCTGCCCCAGCATCACCTCCAACACCGCTGTCTCTCCCACCCTGTGGGATGCTGGTGTCCAGTCCAGCCTGGGTGCTGAGGGACAGCCCAAAGGCTCTCCTTCGAGAGGGGCACACTGCTGGAAAATGGGGCAATCAACCACTGTCTTCTCCAGCTCCATGTGTTGCCTGGAATATTTCCATCTCCTTCTCCTGCGCTTGAGCACAAAAGCTCACCTGAGTTCCCCGGACTTGGGTATGACAAGCTGGATGTGTGTTGGGCTTTTCAAAACCTTGAATACAGGGTGTCATGGTTTTTTGCTTCAGTGCTGTCTTTCTACCTGACCAAACCTGCTGATATGCGTTGCAACCTAGAGGCTGAGGGACAGCGTGAAGGTTCTCCTTGAGGAGGAGCACACCACCAGGAGATGACCTCTCTCTTCTCCAGCTTTTTCTTTAGCCTGGGATGACCTGCATGTGCTGGTAAAGACATGTTTTGACAGTCCTTCGTGTGAGCTGCCTGCCCATCATCACGGTACCCACAACTGGCCCCTGGGAACAAAGCATCTGCTTCCTATGGACTGTTGCTGGTGTGTGATCTTCGTGCCTGATGGAACTGCTCTTGATGGGTGTTGAGAAGAGGCAGGAAGAGCAACTCAACCCTGTGTGGCTGCTGCTGGTTGAGAAAGGACAATGATCAGGGTTGGGATCGGGGAAAACAGTTGACACCTTCTGGATTGCCCTGCTTCCCACTCCATATCCCCATACCCAGTCAGACACTGGGCTGTCAGCCTCATTAACTTCATCTGCTCTGTCTGGACAATCAATAAAAGCTTGTGTTTTGGAGTGGGCTACCTGCTGCCCCCTCCAGCTCTTGCCTAGTCCCCTCATTGCCCTTGTGAGGTCCTGCTCCCCCTGAGGTGCTGAACTAACAGCACCTTCTTGAGGGGAGCCATGAGCAGGGCTGTTGTGGCCTGCAGCTGTGGCTGACAGCACCACCAGGCCTTCCAGGATATGTTGGGAAGATCTGACACGTTTGGATGGGATATGTGTTGGGAACCAGCGAATGGTGGTGCCCCCATTCCACTCATTCTCCATATGAGCGTGTTCGGTGCGTGTGCCCCAGGCAAAGCTGGGGGACAAGGTCTTTGTGCCTCTGCAGGGCCCCATGTCTGATCACCCAGCCCTGTGGAATCTGAGACATGCCAGGTGGATGGGAGGTTCTAGAGGAAGAGAAAAGAAGTGGCTGCTGAGGAGCAAGGGGGATGGCTTAGTAGCCCTGAGGGTTTCCTCAAGCACTCAGCTCTCACTGTAGGGCAGGGTGGTTTGCATTCTTGAGGACAGAGGACAGTGCTGCCAGGCTGAGGGGCCGCAGGAGGAGGAGGTAGCTGTGGATGGAGAAGCAGGGAAGGATGAGAGAGTGTGTCAGCTGAGCGTTTCTTTCAGAAGGCCCATAGACTCTTTCAGATGTTGAGCTACTTGCAGTTCATGTCCCCATTCTGATCCCTGCTTCTGGCTAGCTCTTTATGTGCTTTCTCAGAGGTCCCCCATCTCCTGTGATCATAGACGGGAAGTGACTCATCATCACTCTAAAACCCACACAGTGTCGTTGGGAGGCACTTGGATATTGCCTAAGAAACAGTAACTGGGAAGGTTTTGGGGGGAACTCTGCGATCTTGGTAACAAGGTTTCTTCTGTTGAGTCCCAGAGCTTGGATGCTCCTAGGGTGTAAAAAGCAAAAGGCAGAAGTGCTGACAGTGATGGGAAGTTCCCTGCCCAAAGAGGAAGCCTCCTGCATCTCATGAGGAGCTGTGTCTGTTTCCTTCCTGCGGTTGCAAGCCTTGCAGTCAGCTACGGATGCCTGAGCTCAGAGGCAGCAAGTGGGGCTGAGATTTCGGTCCTGCCTGGGGACTTCATGCCAGGATGGCCCTGCACTTGCTGGCTATGAGGTTTCTTCTGGCCCTTGTATCTCTGTTGTCAGCACAGGTCCAGGGAGAACTTGATCCCAAGGTCCAAGGAGTGTCCCAGGGAACAGGTAAGAAGCAGTTCCTTCTCATCCCTGGGGAGATTTTGTTGCCTTTCCTCCTGCAAGTTGGACATGCATCTTCACTGCCTGCAGCACTGGGCTGGAGTCCAGATGGACTGTGTCAGCTGGGGTGCCTGCTGTCTCTGGGAGACCTCGGGGCAGGAGCTACAATACAGGGTGGGTTCACTGGGGATCTGTGGGAGAGACAGGTTTGGGCTGGATGGTAGGGGATGGATCATGCCCTGTGGCAAAACATTTTGCCAGTCGGTCCCTGGAGGCTGTGGACATGAATCAGGCATGAATTCACATATCATGAACCCAGGAAAGGGTCTTCAGGGAGCAGGGGCATCATTTTCTGTACACATCATCTCCCCAGCTGTGCCTGAAGGGCATTGTGCCTGCTGAGACCAGAGCAAGAGGGAACCTGCTGCTGCTTTGTCACCTGGATGGGCCGGGCTGGGGTCAGTGGCTGGTGCCTGTGCATGGGGTGGGGCACAGCCATGTGCCAGTGGGACAGAGCTGTTGGTTGTGCTGCTCAGATGGGCATCTCTGGCCTTCTGCCATCAGGCTTGTTTGAGAGCAAAGCCTGACCAGGAGTGGCTTGTCACCAGCATTCGCCTCTGGGGCTGTTCAGAAGATGCTTTGAACTTTCTGACATCCCTTGTGTGCCCCTCTGGGAGAAAGGAGATTGTATTTTAAGCACTTTCAGGCCTCACAGAGCCCCTTGCAGAGGCTCAAACAGGCAAGGGCTCCTTCCAAGGGCCAGCATTCTTTTCTGGAGGAATTGTTGCCACAAAGGCTCTCCCTGCAGCATTTGACAAATGGCTGGGAAAAGCTGTGCCTGCTCAGCCTAAAGGATGGTGAATTTGGTGAGGAGAGGATGCGAAGGAAGAGGGCTTGTGGCAGGAAAAAGGGGCAGGAGCTGTGCTAAAGCAGGGGATGTGAATGGAGAAGGCCTTGCTCCTCCCCATGTCCCACTGCACAGTGGTGTGGGGCAGAAGGAGAGTAGCCAAAAGACTGACTGAGTCAGAACAGGGAGCCCAGAAGGGTAACAGGGGCATCTCTGATCCCTGTGGTAGGGATGAGCCATGGCTGAAGAGACATACATCCCAGCAGGACAGGTGATACCATCAAGTGCAGCTTGAGCTGGGATGGGTGACACGCCTGAAGGAGATGTTGGAGGGAGTCTTCCAGTGCAGGGCTGATTGTCCTGGCAATCTCCTTCCTGGGGGCTATGGTGGAGGAAATAGAATGTCCCCAGACACGAGGCTGGATGGGGGAGGTTCATGGATGAGGGATCCTTCACACTTTACATGCACAAGGAAAGCCCCCTCCCAACATCCTGAAGTGGATGTCACCTTGCCTCTCCCTTCAGGGGCTGGAGGGACAGCTGGGCATTTATCTCCCACCACACACCCATACCCCAGCACCCTCCAGCCCAACTAACACCCACTTTCACCTCTGCCAGAAACGTGCCAAAGGCCCCCTTGGGCCTCCATCTTCCAGCTGGCACCAGACCAGGAGAGCTACAGGAAGAACGAAGAAGTGATGCTGAGCTGCCCTGAAGGTTTCCAGCCATCCTTCACCCATGTCAAATGTTCGAGTGAAGTCCAGTCCTTCACTGATGGGAAACCTGTCTACAGAGAGGTTTGGCTTGGAAGACATACCAGAGGTGCCTGGATCCGCATTCGCTCCAGCATGGAGTGCCTTGGTAAGGCAGGGATGAGGAGCTCTCCTGGCTGCCCCACCCTGCCCTTCCTGAGCAGGGAAGGCAGCTGTGTGGGCACAGCAGGTTTCTGGCTCTCTGCTGCCTGGGGAAATGGCACGTGCTGCTGAAGGCAGTGTCAAGGCAGCCCCTGCGCCTGCCCTGAGTGCAGCCTGCAGCTCACCCCTGGAGCTGTGGGCAATAAGGGAAGGGGCTTCCTGAGGACTTCTGGCCAAGAGCAAAACATGGGAGAGTGAGGAGTGGTGGAATTTGTGGTCAGCATGGCATCCCAGTGGGGGCAGGACTGGAGGGCTTTGCTGCCTGTGTCCTCTCAGATTGTGCAGCTGGGAGTACCACAGCTTGTTCCCTGTAGGCTGGTCCCCTGTAGGCTCTGTGGCCTGGTGGCTGTAGGCTTGGCACCATGTCCTCACAGCTTGGGGTCTTCCTGTCCCCTCTAAGGGAGAACAGAACAGCACTTGTTGGACTTGCTGGGACACACAGACACCTCAGTTTGGAATCAAGGGGGAAAATTGCCTTGACCAGTAATAGTTCACTCAGTCACTCCCATTCCTTCCTGTCCAAACTCCTCCTGCTGCCCTACCAGAGAGCTGGAGTGTCCAGCTTCAGCCTCTTGCTTGCCCTCCCACCAGGCTGGGTGGTGACAGGGCTGTCTGACTGCAGAATCCTTGCAAGGCTGGCAGGGGCAGGAAATACAGTGACTCTTTGTCAATCTTTCTTTCACAGAAGTGCTTCAGGTTGACCCCGGTACCTTTGAGATCTCCAGCACCAGCATCAAACTGAACTGGACCTGCAGGTTCCCTGGTGCCTGCCAGGGCATGCGGGCCATGTGCCGCCTGGCAGTGCCTTCCTCCCCTCCCTGCGAGGCTGAGGAGGTGGAGGGAGAGGAGATGTTACATGGCCAGGAGGGAACATTCTCCTGCTCCCTGTTGCAGCCCCTCACTGACTACAGTGTCACCATCTTCTTGCACCCCAACATGACCCTTTTCTCATGGTTGTTCAGGACAGAAGAAACAGGTATGTGTCCAGAAGTACTGGGGAGAAGGAACAGTCTGAGGCTGTGTCATGGGTAGGGGAAGTGCATAAATGTCCCCTTCATCTGTCAGCTCAGCCTGATCATCTGCTCCTTGCAGGGATCAAGGCTGTTTATACCCTGTGGGGCTCTGGGGAAGGGGCTCTGCAGAGCCCTGCAGCAGGGCACATCCCCTCCTTGCTGTCCCAGTCCACACCACACTGTTGCTCTTCCCACTGCTGCAGCATGTGGGACAAAACCTTGATATGGAGTCCCCATATCCTGTCCCCTGGACAGGAGCTGCCTGCACCCTGCTCTGGGCTCAGCCCCTCCTCGTGGGCCCTGCGTGTGACCCTGTTCTCCTGTGCTTCCAGTGCCAGACAAACCAGAGGAACTGTGGTTGGATACCAGCAGAGGGTCCCTGAGGTGGAAGGAGCTGCCCTCCTGCAAAGGGGAGATCATTGGATACCAGGTACCAAGGGGCCACAGGCAGACCCTCATCTCATTGCCTGGAGTTCTGTGCAGGCAGATTGGGAAGGTGGGGAAGCGACCACTAGATCGAGCTGCAGGTCTCAGACAGTGAATATCTAGCTTTGAGAAGCACAAGTGTTTTCTATCTCATTCTCAACATTCTTCATGCTCTGGAAATGCCCAGAGGTGGTGGGTGCTCCCCACCCTCTGGTCTGACTTCCTGGGTCTGTTCTGCTTCAGGCTTGGCAGACCTTTGTGATGTGACGTGTCTTCTGGGGTGGTATCCAAGGGTTTCCTGTGCCTCTTGCATGCTTGTTTCTGTTTCCTGCCACAAACAAACCTGTGGGTTGAGTAATCCTCTGAAAATCCCTCCTGAAAACCTCTCCTCCAGAGAGCTGCACTGTTCCTTTGAGTTCTCCTCAAGGCATGGCTAGAAGCATCTCATCTGTCTGCGGATTTAGGACACTTTCCACAGTGCAACCCTACTTTCTAACAGGGGGAGGGAGTTGCTGGTGAGATGCACCTCAGTGTGTCCCACGTCCTCTCTGAGGACGGGTATCTCCCTGGTTTGACAGGGACCTTGTAAGGTGTTTCAGAACTATTTCCTGGAGAAACAGTCAAAAAGGGCACTTGAAAATGTTGCTTGTGAGACTGTTCTGCTGGTTCCCTGCTCCCAGACACCTTTGTTTGTGAAAAGAATATTTTTTCTGCTTTTGGTTGTCTCCTCTTCTGCATATGCCCAAGATGCATTTCCACGAAGGCAGCAAGTAAGAATGGGCATGGCTCTCATGACAAATTCAGATGATGCATGGGCAAATGGGGAACCTTCATCTGTATTACTTGGATGGAAGCTCTATGCCGTCTACTTTTTATGTAGACAAAACCTCCAGAGTCTAACCTTGCACAGGAGGAAAGAGAAGCTCAGGGTTCCTCTTGTGGAGCATGTCAACACAGTGACTGTGGTGTTGCAATACCATAGGGGTGACCTGTTCTTGGGCTTGGTACATGTATATTCACCCCTTCAAATAAACAGCCTCCCTCTTCCTTCACAGAGACTTGATTCTTTGCTTATGGAAGCAGACACTTGGACATCCTGAGTGTTGGCTCCAAATTCCTCCTCTCCTCCTCTTCTCTGCTTTGAGGTCCACACATGGGCTCAAGGATCATGCTGGTTCCTCTCCAGAGCCTTCCACAGCTGGGGCAGGCTCAGAGAAGGGGAGGCTGACAGAGGTGCTTTGCTCTGCCTCAGTGAGCTGTGGGCAGGTTGGAGCTGCTGCCCTGCAGCTCTGTCTCCTCTCCCCAGCTGAACATCACGGCCAGGAGCACACGGGATGGAGGCTTCCTGGAGATGGAGCGGCTGCAGGTGAACGGCTCCGTCACTGAGCACCGGCTGCCGGAGCACGGCCCTGGCAGCAGCTACGTGGTGTCCATTCAGGGACTGACGGCTGCCGGGGCCGGGGCTGCGTCGCTGTGGGAGTTTCAGAGCACAGGTAGGGCTCGCTGTGCTCCTGTCCCAGGAGCCTGGTCACACAGGAGCTGAGCTCTGCAGCCTGCACTGCCCGAGCCTGCCCCTGCTCAGCTGATGCTCATCTGCTCTTGCCCTCCAGACAACCAGCACCCTCTGGGCATCAGCTGCCGCAGCGTCCCTGACATCTCCCCATCCCAAGGGACGGCCGTGCTTCCCCTCCAACCCATCACCTCGGAGGGGGCCGGGTGAGTGCAGCCCCCGCACTTCTGACACCTCCACGTGGGTCTCCCCACCAGCAGTGCTTGCCTGCAGATGCCCCTGCTCCACTCTCCCTGCTGTCCCCCCGCCCCTCTCACTTTCGGCCCTGCAGGGAGCACCAGCTGGTCGTGGCCATGACACACAACAGCTCAGGGATTGAAAGCGCCTGCTTGGGGCAGCCACAGCCCTTCAGTGCCAGCCAGCAGCCCTTCAACACCACCCAGCAGCCCAGAACCTACGTGGCCGCTGTGCTCAACCTCACCGCCCCCATGGACTTCGTTTTGGGCAACGGCACCTGGGGGCAGGGCTACCACAACGCTGCCCTGCGCCCCGGCTGGGACTACACGGCCCTTCTGCGCCTCGTCCGCCGCTCACCGCAGGTACCCAGCGTGGGGCCTCCTGGGGTCTGGGGACACTGCTGGCCAGGGCTGGGCCCCTGCGTGGGTCTGGTCTGGCTGTGATGGAAAAAGACANCACAGGCAGACCCTCATCTCATTGCCTGGAGTTCTGTGCAGGCAGATTGGGAAGGTGGGGAAGCGACCACTAGATCGAGCTGCAGGTCTCAGACAGTGAATATCTAGCTTTGAGAAGCACAAGTGTTTTCTATCTCATTCTCAACATTCTTCATGCTCTGGAAATGCCCAGAGGTGGTGGGTGCTCCCCACCCTCTGGTCTGACTTCCTGGGTCTGTTCTGCTTCAGGCTTGGCAGACCTTTGTGATGTGACGTGTCTTCTGGGGTGGTATCCAAGGGTTTCCTGTGCCTCTTGCATGCTTGTTTCTGTTCCCTGCCACAAACAAACCTGTGGGTTGAGTAATCCTCTGAAAATCCCTCCTGAAAACCTCTCCTCCAGAGAGCTGCACTGTTCCTTTGAGTTCTCCTCAAGGCATGGCTAGAAGCATCTCATCTGTCTGCGGATTTAGGACACTTTCCACAGTGCAACCCTACTTTCTAACAGGGGGAGGGAGTTGCTGGTGAGATGCACCTCAGTGTGTCCCACGTCCTCTCTGAGGACGGGTATCTCCCTGGTTTGACAGGGACCTTGTAAGGTGTTTCAGAACTATTTCCTGGAGAAACAGTCAAAAAGGGCACTTGAAAATGTTGCTTGTGAGACTGTTCTGCTGGTTCCCTGCTCCCAGACACCTTTGTTTGTGAAAAGAATATTTTTTCTGCTTTTGGTTGTCTCCTCTTCTGCATATGCCCAAGATGCATTTCCACGAAGGCAGCAAGTAAGAATGGGCATGGCTCTCATGACAAATTCAGATGATGCATGGGCAAATGGGGAACCTTCATCTGTATTACTTGGATGGAAGCTCTATGCCGTCTACTTTTTATGTAGACAAAACCTCCAGAGTCTAACCTTGCACAGGAGGAAAGAGAAGCTCAGGGTTCCTCTTGTGGAGCATGTCAACACAGTGACTGTGGTGTTGCAATACCATAGGGGTGACCTGTTCTTGGGCTTGGTACATGTATATTCACCCCTTCAAATAAACAGCCTCCCTCTTCCTTCACAGAGACTTGATTCTTTGCTTATGGAGGCAGACACTTGGACATCCTGAGTGTTGGCTCCAAATTCCTCCTCTCCTCCTCTTCTCTGCTTTGAGGTCCACACATGGGCTCAAGGATCATGCTGGTTCCTCTCCAGAGCCTTCCACAGCTGGGGCAGGCTCAGAGAAGGGGAGGCTGACAGAGGTGCTTTGCTCTGCCTCAGTGAGCTGTGGGCAGGTTGGAGCTGCTGCCCTGCAGCTCTGTCTCCTCTCCCCAGCTGAACATCACGGCCAGGAGCACACGGGATGGAGGCTTCCTGGAGATGGAGCGGCTGCAGGTGAACGGCTCCGTCACTGAGCACCGGCTGCCGGAGCACGGCCCTGGCAGCAGCTACGTGGTGTCCATTCAGGGACTGACGGCTGCCGGGGCCGGGGCTGCGTCGCTGTGGGAGTTTCAGAGCACAGGTAGGGCTCGCTGTGCTCCTGTCCCAGGAGCCTGGTCACACAGGAGCTGAGCTCTGCAGCCTGCACTGCCCGAGCCTGCCCCTGCTCAGCTGATGCTCATCTGCTCTTGCCCTCCAGACAACCAGCACCCTCTGGGCATCAGCTGCCGCAGCGTCCCTGACATCTCCCCATCCCAAGGGACGGCCGTGCTTCCCCTCCAACCCATCACCTCGGAGGGGGCCGGGTGAGTGCAGCCCCCGCACTTCTGACACCTCCACGTGGGTCTCCCCACCAGCAGTGCTTGCCTGCAGATGCCCCTGCTCCACTCTCCCTGCTGTCCCCCCGCCCCTCTCACTTTCGGCCCTGCAGGGAGCACCAGCTGGTCGTGGCCATGACACACAACAGCTCAGGGATTGAAAGCGCCTGCTTGGGGCAGCCACAGCCCTTCAGTGCCAGCCAGCAGCCCTTCAACACCACCCAGCAGCCCAGAACCTACGTGGCCGCTGTGCTCAACCTCACCGCCCCCATGGACTTCGTTTTGGGCAACGGCACCTGGGGGCAGGGCTACCACAACGCTGCCCTGCGCCCCGGCTGGGACTACACGGCCCTTCTGCGCCTCGTCCGCCGCTCACCGCAGGTACCCAGCGTGGGGCCTCCTGGGGTCTGGGGACACTGCTGGCCAGGGCTGGGCCCCTGCGTGGGTCTGGTCTGGCTGTGATGGAAAAAGACAATGTTACACAGCATTTGCTCTTGGCCCTGCACTGAGAACCCAGTGGCAGGATCGTGTCTGTGGGGTTCTTGGCCACAGCTGTGGCACTCGGTGGTTGTGGGTGGGAGACCTTTGCTCCCAGGAAGGATGCTGGGGCAGGAGTGGGCTGAGCTGTTTTCCTGTCTTCTCCAACAGTCAGAGAAGTTCACCTGTGTCTGCTACAGCTTCTCTGTTGGTAAGTGTCTCTTTGCTTCTGGTGCCCGAGCTTCTCTCCCACATTTCCTTGGCTGGTCCCTGTGGAGAGGAGCTGGCCCAGTGCAGGAGCCTTTGGGTCTCATGTGGGACAGAGGACACTTTTTTCCCTACACACGGGGCGATCTTCCATCACAGAAAAAACCTAAGACAAGACACACATCTACACCCTTTGCCAACATTGGGGCCATGGCCAGCATGAGGCCCAGACTGTGACACCCACTCCTGGCTGTGTGTTAGTTGCAGGGCAGGCTCCGGGCACGTGGCATTGGACTGTGATTGGGCTGGTTGTGCTGTTGGCACTCCTCCTCGTGACTGCAGTGATCCTGTGGCTCGTGCTCTCCAGGTGAGTAGGCAGGAGACAGGTTCAGCAGGGACATGGGCAATGCCAGCCTCTTACCCAGGACTCCTCTCTGCCTTTCCAGGAAAAAGAAGTATGTGCCCAACAAAGCTAAGGAGGATAACTAAAAAGGTAGGAAAATGCAATTTCACAGACAACCATCACAAAGGCGGCTACAGGGCTATGTGTTACCTGGGGTGACAGCAGAGATCTCCCAGAAGAACCTGAGCTTCAGGAGAATCATCTGCTCATACTCTGCACTGACACGTCTCCCCATTTGCTCTAGCTGAGGATGGTCAGGATGGTTCTGCCCACTAAGCCCCACATGACAGGCAGTGCTCCCAGCCTGGAGCAGGGACAGGAGTGAGTAAAGACGGGAATCCCAAAGACTGGCTCATGGCTCAGTCCTTCAGGGGACCCATGTCTATGCCACCCCTCCCAGAGAAGAGATCTGCAGGGAATGGTCTCGGGAGGGTCAGGCTGAGAGACTGCTTCTCTCGCCAGGGCAGTGACAGGCACCTCAGAGGACCTAAGGTTGGGCACAGCTGGGATGAAAGGGTTGGGCTGTGGCAGATATTGCCCTATGCTCCAGCCTGTCTCTGACAATGGATGCCCTTGTTCTCCATAGGTAAAGGTGGCTAGGCTAGAGATCAGTCACTCCAGCCGCTGGCCAGGACCATGGAGACATTCAGAGCAGAGAAGGAGTGGAGAAAATGAGAAGAATGACCCCAGCTCAGTGCTGATGGCTGCTGTGCCCCTTGGTCTCCTGTGACTGTGACAGCGTGGGAGTCCAATTCAATTCATCTAATTTAGCAGGGCAAGATGAAAACAGGAGACAAAGGAGGATTGTGAGCTTTTTCTTTCCTCAGCACCTTCACCTCCCAGCTTTTGCTTACTGCTTTTTTAAGGCCTTTGAATTTGACTTTCTGCAGTTCCTTTTTTCAGGTTTGCTTTCATTTTTGCTTTCCTGGAAGCAGGATTTGTTTTTCAGATTTCCTAATCCCAGACTCACACAGGCTCAGGCTGATGGCATTCTCCTGCCATGCCCCAGGTTCCCAACTCTTCTCCTCCATCTCTGCTGATATTCAGCCAAACCCAGGGATTTTCTGGAACTTGGCCTGACTGGACTGTTTTGTGACTCTGCCTGCTCTGTCTGAATAACCAATAAAGGCTTGTGTTTTGAAGGGGCTGCCTGTCCTACTACAGCTCCTGCCTGGTCCTCTCATTGCCCCTCTAGGGTCACATCTCCCTGCAGGGAGCTAACTGCACCTTGTTGAGGGGAGGGCTGCTGTGACCCCATATTCCCTAGTGGTGCTTGACAGCCTCCAGGGCTGTGCTGGACAGCTCTCACATGAGTTTACATCAGATGTCTGGTGGGAATCCATAAAGGATGATGTCCCTCAACACACATTTTGGGCAGGAGTGTGTTCTGTGCACATGCTGTGGCCAGAGCTGAGGGACCTGTGTGGTCTCAGTTTCTTTGAGGGCCTTGTGCTGGGTCAAACCTGGAAGAAAAGTGAAGACCAGAGGTTACCACCACCGTGGCTGTTACAGGGTCTTTACTGGTGAGACACAGGACAGAGAGCCACAGCCAGTCAGGACCTGGGGTCAGTCCTGGCTCTGAGGTCTCTTGCCCTTACACAGCAAAGGCAGAACCAGTCTCCATGATGCAGCAGCAGCCCCTGCTGGAATCACATCCAGCATATCCAAGTTAAGCCACTATAACCTGGGATTGTCATAGTGAAGTCAGACAGGCTGATGAAGGAGCCCCTCTGGAGCTGGCAGGGTTGTGGCACTTGGATCAGCACCTGGAAAATGGATTTCCAGAAAGAGATTGTGTGGGTTGGAAGGACCTATTTAGCCCTACAGGACCATGGCTTCCCCCACCCTTGGCTCTTGTTGGCCTTGGACTTCATGCTTCTCCCAAAGTAGGACAGATAGCTTGTGCTCCTGAGCACCACAGATCTTACAGTAGTTTGGTGCTTTCCTGACAAAACACAGATGTTGGTGCTACCCCACCTCCCCTGGGGTTGCCTGAAGGGATAAGAGAGCCTAGATGGGATAGCTGTTTTCTTCATCCCTAGGAAGGAAGAGTATGTCAAGTCCTGGTGCCCGTGCTCTGGCGTGCATACTCAGGCTGTGATTCCAGATAAGATACTGCACAAATGCTGGGCAAAGGGTCAGCTTCCTACTTCAAAGCCTGGCCACAATTTGGAGACAGTCCAGCCTGTGCTCTCCAGCCACAGAGGACCCTTGCTGTGGCTTTTCAGGGGAGTAAATCATCTTGGGGCTGTGCACATCCCTTTTGTTTCCTCTTGTTTTCATTGTTACTGATGAAGGTCTGCCAAGAGAGTCAAAGTCCTGTCCAGAGATGGACTGTGGTCACGTCTCTACTTGAAATTCCCATAGGTTTCAAATGAATTCAAGTAACTGAGGGCTAGTTCATAGCAGAGCCCATACTGCTCCTGTGGAAAGAGGGATGCACATGAGTGTCTGGTAGATCAACACCTGCAGTGGAATGTGAGCATTGGTTTCCAACAGCTTCCTGAGCATGCCAGGCACAGGTACAGCCTGCTCTCCTCCTCTCAGCTGGAGCCCACCTTCCCCTGCTGAGAAATCACAGGCACGTGCTCCAGTAGCTGGAGGGCTGGGATACCCCAGTGCTAGAGCCAACTGGCCTCAAGAGGAAAGCAAGCCTCCAGGGCACAAAGTGTCTGCTGATCAATCCCATCTGGGTTGCTCACCCTGTGATGACCTCTAGCACCCAGACCAGGTGGTGAAGTGGGTGCAGGACAGGTACCTGAACACCCACCAGTGCAGCCTCCTGCTGAGCAGGCCAGGTGGACCAGAAAGGGGCCGCTCACCATGCAGGATGCTGTGGTGCCCATTTGCCCCTGAGTGAGTGGGTATGTCCCAGAGGCAGAAAATGAGGGTTTTCAGAGGTCTCATCTGCTCCTGCTGGCCCCAGGATGATCTGAGCACACAGGGGCCGGGGCAGCTGCTGGGTCAGTCTAGGATATGTTTGGGTTTGGTGTTGCAATCCCAGTTGGGTTTGAAGTGAGCACTTACCACATCTTTGATGAGCTGTCTCCGCCGCCTCTTCAGCATCCTCACGGCCTGTGATACATCCACCATCCCCTCACTTTGGATCTGCTCACACAGGAAACTAGCAGCACAGAAGATCCCACTTCGGCTGGCTCCATCCCTGTAGAGGAGAGAAAGGGAAGAGTCACTTGCTCTGGGATCGCCTGGCATGGCTGAACCTCAGAGGCATCCCACTAGACATCCAGGCTCTCAGGGTGATCTCGTCCACAGATCCTGCAGCCAGCCAGCCTCCACAGGGAAGTCTCCCTCTCTGAACATAGCTGAATTCATGTCCATACATCCACCCGAGATGGAGCTGTGACCAAGTTCACTGACAGAGCCTGGGCTGTGTCCAGCTTTGTATCATGGCTGCTCCTCCAAGAGACATCACTCACCAGCAGGTGACAAGGATGTGTCCCCCTTGGCTCTGCCGATGGTGTGTCTCCACTTTCCCTAGCAAGCTGATGATGGTGGCAGGGTGCGGGGGAAGACGCTCCTGCATAGGCCAGTCCTTCAATTGCCATAACTGGACTTCCAGTGCTGACTTTTTGGGCTAGTGGGGAAGAAAGACAGTGGGTTGGGCAGAAAAGAAACCTATTGTCTTCACAGAGTGAAGGGATGGACAGTGTGTGTCAGTACTGGCTCAGCCATGCACACTGGATCAAGGGAGCAGCTCCACAGTGGGACAGCCCAGTCCCAGACTTTGCCCTTCCCCATTGAGTGCTCTGAGACCAGCAAATAGACGGAGCATCAGAGGAGAGCTGAGCACACCAGGTGCAGCTCAGACTGGCACCAGTCCAGTGCCCAGCTACCTGCAACAGCTGTCCCCTTCTATGAACCCCCAAGATGCAAGAACTCCATCCACAGCTGCTGCCCTCCAAGTTGGAAAGGCACACAAAGGTACCTCTGATTTGTACCTCTGCCTGCAGCCTTACCTTCTTGGGATTAACCTCTCTCCCAAGGCAGAAGACCCTGCTCTGGCCAGTGCCCTTCCAGGACCCCACCAGATCCCTCTGACCAATGTGGTCTCTGCCACCTCTAGCTGTGACTTCGGCCCCAAATTAAAAAGGTTGTTCTCAAAAGACTTTGCCATCTTTGAGCACAGACCCCACCTGCTGCCTGTTGGTGAGGGCAAGTGTCCAGGCTGTGAAGCCAGCTCCAGGCTCCTCTGAGACCAGTTGGACATGGAAACGGCCATAGTCATCTTCGCCCTGGGTGGGCCAGAACTCCACGTATGTCTGGGGGGGTGACACATGTGCATGTTCACACACAGCCCCAACCTGCACGTGTGGCACCTTGCATGGGTGGGATCACACCTCTCCCTTATCTCAGAGCCATGTACACGTGGCTCTGTCAAACATTTTCTGGGGACTAAGCCAGTGCTTCAGCCAGAAAAATCACACTCCAGCAGAGAGAATACCTGAGGGATGCTCCCTTGCTGTGAGACTGAGGACAGTCCACTACTGTGGTGCCGTGATGCTGGACTGTATCAGGGCTCTCCCAGGTGGAGCCCACAAGCTTGCAGGGCTCTCATGGTAAGAGTTGTGCAGGGTCAAAGGCTGAAATACCCCTGCTCAGCCCCACGGGGAACCACGGGAGGGGAGAGCTGTGCTGGGGCTGCTCACCTTGTCCAGCTCCTGGAGTTGATTCAGCACAACCACTGATGTGCAGGTGTAATCCCAGACCAGAGCCCAGAAATCCACCAGCGTGGTGGGGAAAGGCAGCTGGGTGATGACGATTCTATCCTCTTCGGTGTATGTCTGCAAAACACGCCACTGTGCTTGGAGGTGGGGAAAGTCACACAATCCACCTTCCCGACAGCCCTTCCGACAGTGGGAACGCCCCACTGCCTCCCTGCAGGGATGGAGGACACACAGTACGCCCCAGCCCTGCTCAGAGCAGCTCAGGTTTGCGCCCCGCCACCCCCCCGGGTCATCACACCCGGGCTCGGCCCCCATCAGGCTGTGTCCAGCGGCTGTGCGGCGGCTGCGGAGCTGCCCGCGCAGGCAGAGCTCGGCCGAGCGCGGGGGCCACCTCCTGGCAGCAGGGCCAGCAGTCACCGTGAAGGAGCCCGAGGGCTGGCACACCTCACGCCGGGGTGACACGCTCTACCCTTGCCTTCAGCAAGAGTGCGTGGGGGGGGAGGTGTTTCTGCTGCTGCCATCAGCTCTCGCCCCCCCAAGCTGGGACTGGAGCCTTACGCTGGCAAACACGGCGTTGATGTAACCTGGGGAGCCGTCTGCGTTCAGCGAAGACATCAGGATGGGCCGGCAGGAATCCGCTGAGGAGGCAAGGGACAGAGAGAGGGTCATCCTCTCCCTGCAGAGAGGCAGGGGGCTTTTTCTGCAAGTGATGTGGTCAGCGTGGCTTCCTGCAGCATGGGCTGGAGGGGCTTGAATGAACAGGCACCACCAGCCTTGGGGCCCTGACAGCTCAAGGACCCCTGACATGAGATGTCCAAAATCTCCTGCACAGAGGCACAGCAGTTCCACTCTCCTCTTTGCTCCCTGATGCTTCATCTGAGCTACTCCACCGAGAAAGATTAGACCAGGGACATGTTTATCCCAGGTGTATCCGAGGTGTACCCCAGGTGTACCAGCCCAATCTGTATTTATTACTAACCAGAAAATGATGACTAGACCTTGAGCAGAATCTGCCAGTGGCATGGTGCTGGGGAGGGAAGCAGCAGGGGAGCATCATTCGACCCATGCTGCTTTCAGGCACTGGGTTTTAGAGCAAGGGGCTGCCCAGCCCTGCCAGTGTTACCTGGCAGGATCCCTGGCTTGCGGTTCTTGGGCTGGTTGCTGGGTTTCTCTGCTTCTCTGCATGGCAGGAGCTGGAACAACTCAGAAAACTTCTGCAAGGCCTGTAGAGATGATTCAGCCAAGTAAGTCATGCCGGCCGGCGCCTCCCCTTCTTCGGCCACCCCTTCTTTGGCCACCCCAGAGAAACACTCTCCCATGTCCATCCCACAGCTGGGGAGGGGAGCAGTGAGGGGGGTGGCATCACAGACCAGCCCTCACAGCACCAGTGCACCATATCCTGGTGGTACCTTGAACTCCTTGTCCAGGACGCTGTTGGGCCTTGAAGTCTGAGCTTCTCGAAGAGAGTGGA